CTCAGCCTTCCATCCTTCCAAGGTGGGTAAAATGAGGACCCAGATTATTGGGGGCAATATGCTGACTCTGTAAACCACTTAGAGAGGGCTGTAAAAGTACTACGAAGCGGCATATAAATGTTATTACTATTGCTAATATTGCTCTGAAATGTGTTGGTTTGGATTCCCCAATGTGTTTTTATACATATGGTTTGCTCCTGTTTTCTCCTTCCTCCAACCCATTTTATTTTTTTTCTTCATGCCTCAGATGAAAGTTGTTTACATTTTGCCAAATCTAATAAAGCAAGCATAAGAGTTTGAACTTGAACATATAGATCTCGGCGATTGATACGAAGATAAACATCATCATGTTCAAAACAATCCTTTTGAAGCTTCTATATGCCTTTTGCAGATCATAGGATTTTGTTTGAGGTGCACAGCTCTAATTAACTGTTTAGAAATCTGTGTACTTTTTCCTGGGAAATCTATCTCTGTGAGGATCAGAAAACCTCTCACTCCTGCCAATTTATTGCATGAACTTCTGTTGTTATTACCATACTTACTATATTAAAGGAAGAAGTTGGAAGTTCCCTGACTTTCAGTATTTCTGAAATGCTGGTATATGCTGGCTAATGATGGACACTGTAAGGCAAGACCAGGCAACTTTTGGCTCTAAAGCAACTCCAACTGCATCACCAAATTTTTCCAAAAAGTGATACAGTTTGCTGCTGCTTAGATAACACCAAACTGTTGTGAATGTTTTTAAAACAGTTCTTGGTGACACTAAAAAGGACATATGCATTGAACAACATGCTATTAGACTAAAAGCTGGCAAACATTTGACATGTGACTGTTCTGTTTCAGGCCCATTTACAATTTTTTTGCCAATATCTAGACTGCTGCCTTTTTGTGCTCTTTAACTTTGTATACGGTCTAATTATAGATGAATTACCTTTGCTATTTACACAAAGCAACACTGCCTTTTTTGAACTTTACAGGAAACACCCACAAGCTCTTTATCTTTTGGTCTGTGTCACGACTGCATTACAATTGTCACACATGATCAAAAGTTTATTTTACTCCAGCTCTACATTTACAGTGCCTTTTCTTCTTCTTCTTTAGCCTTAGATTTGTCAGACTTTTCCAGATGAAACCCTCAAGGTTTCCCCCAGAAAATCTTAAAAGAAAGGAAATTTTCATTTAATTTTGGATTAATTTCTCCACAGTAAAACAAGCAGTTGAAGAACTTTAGGATCTTAGTTCTGGAGGTGTATCTGGCTGCCGGGAAGGATGGCTGCTTTGAAATGCTTCTAATTCTAGGAGAGCTTTGTTGATTCTGCTTATTGTTGGGTATGGAGTCAAATCCACTTTAAATCTGCTAAGAAAAATTAAGCATTAGGCAAATCTCTGTTACTGTAATACCAAGTCACTGTATTTTAGATACACTTAAATCAATAGGATGCAAAACAAAAATCTGTTACAATCTGTTCTCAAGAACATATTTTGCATTAAGTAGTAATTGGCAAAGAAGAAAAAGTGAAGAAATCAATGACAACATATATACAATTTTATAACTGAATTCTCTATTATATGAACACAAGAACAGGAATGGATGTTTCCAAAATACTGCAGAAAAAAAACAGATGGGTATTCCTGTCACACTTCCTAAGGCAGGGGTGTCGAACTGGCAGCCTGTGGGCTGGATGAGTTATGTGCAGGCCACACCCACTCCTCCTCCATGAAGGGGGAAAATGTCGTGAAACGTCACATGACAGTAACATGACACCATGAGTTTGACACCCATATCATAAAGGGTAACAATCTTGTCTCTTAAATCTTCTGAGAATTAGAGGAGCAAAGGCAAAAAGGAGCTCCCCCTTCAATACACTCAGTTTATCTTTTTCCAGATTTCTGTAATGGAAGCCCATTTTCCTTTGCAATAAACCTGACTAACACAATTGTTAGAATCTAGCCTTCTTCCTTGTAACTGTGGCTTAACATTCTGGATTTAGAAGAATTCAGGCAGTGAAAAAAAGACAAGGGCAGAACTGGAGGAGAAGCGGAAGACGTTGTGGTGGACAGAGGTGGGGTAAAAAGATCACTTTCATGGGATTGCCAATAAAAATGGTAAAGTCCAGGTAAAAGAAAGCAGGGGTCTTTTGCTTAAAAAAATGGATATTTTGGTAGAAAGAGAATAGACTAGACTATAGAATAGACTTTCTTTTTCTGTGCACTGTGAGGAGAAATGTAATGTTCTATTTTATCTATCAATTTGGAAAATTAGGTTTTAGATCAGTTTTGAATCAAACCTCTGGTAATTAATTGAAAGATATTTTTATAGCTCTTGTCTAAATAAGGTAGGGGTGTGTGGGTGTGTGCAAATACTGAAACAAGCATTGTAATATCACACACTGTATGAAATAGGAGAAGCACAGAGTACAATGCTCATTTAGTCATTTTGACAAACACACTAGATTCTGCAGATGCTGATCTGAACCCTAACTTTTTATAGAGAACTTTCTACTGTGGTCTGCCTAGAGCATTTGTTTTGCATTTCCCCCCTAAATGTTCTATTTAGTTGCTAAACCTGATCCAGGCAACTCTGTAATTCCTTTCTACAGCACTGAAAGTATTCACTTTAAAGTTAATAGTTAAAAGTGGGGTATATTTTACCTTTAAAAAAAAAAAAGATTTTGGTTACCTCCTGAAGGCATGAAGGAACAAACCTCTAGTTATACAAAGGTGTTTTTTCCCCAAAAGGCAACTGGACTTTCATGGATTTTTTTCCCTTTCAAAATGTTTTGCTTATCATCCAAGAATCTTCTTCAGTTCCAACTAACTGATGGGGAATGAAAAGATTTATATTCTTTGTAGGCATTCGATTGTTAAGACTCCAGCACCTTGAGTTAGATACTTATGTACTGCAAGGCACTAAGGTTATTGTTGAATTTACTTCTATTTTTTTTTCTTTTTAATTATCAGAAAGGGCAATGTCTGGAGAATAAGGAAGATGATCTTGATGGAAATATGCAGGAACTGTCACCTAAACAGATGCTAAAACATTTTTTAAAGTCCAGAAGAAGACAACCTTCAGAAGTGGCTCAGGCAAACTCCTCCTAATTTAACAGAGCATATAAGGAGGAGGAGAAGTGGGATAGGATAATCAAATCCTGTTGTTATTGCCAATCTTAATAAATGTAAGTTTAACATCCTTGCAGAGTTGATTTTCTGGTCTGGTTTATCTAATGGGGCCGAGGGGAAAGACATGAAACATTCCTTGGAAATTAGATGGTGGCAACAGGAATTGCTAAACTGCTACCCCAAATCAGGAAATGAGATCATGGTAGGAAGACTCAGAAGACTTCTGGGAGTGAAACGTTGAGATTCTCCAGTCTTCTATTCAATGGGCGCTGCCATTCAACTGAATGGTAAGTAGTATTCTACAGTCTCTATACAGTTAGATGCCTCATTGGATTATAGTTTAAGCCTTCAGTGATACAAAAGTTATCTGACTACTGATTAGGCAGTCAAATAGGCCCTTTAGAGCTTGTGGAACTTCATTTTCCTTACCTCTCAGCATTGTATACTTGGGGGACCAAGCAAAGGTCTGCCATGGTCACCTAAAAGAGAAAAGCACAGATAAATACCAATTCAAGATTTGGAGCTAAAGTCTTGTTAGAAGGCATCAATCCAGGGAAAACAGTATGACTTTAGTGATGTAGAAGTTTTTAAAAAATGGTGATTTTTGATAGTTTTGCCTTAGGACTGGTGGTCTGGCTTTGGACACGTTTTTCTACATCTTTTTCCAATATCTTACATTAAGTAGTGATCCTAGTTCTCCACGTACAACTGGAAGCTTAGAGAGTTATAATGGGGGTACTCCCTGGGGAGTACTTGTGACCTGGTAGTCATGTAACCATACTTTGGGTGGTTGGCAACCAGCTCGCATTTACAGCTGATTGCAACGTCCTGCAGTCACATGGACTTATGACGTTTTTGCTGAAAACTGGCATTTACTTTTGGTTTTTGGTAAAAATGGTCCGTTGATTGTTAAATGACCATGGCATTTGCTCAGCACCCTTCACAACTAATGTTGGTGACCTGTTTTATGATTGTCACAACTTGATACCATTATGATCATACTACCTGTGTATGCTATTTGCTTATGGATTTTTTGTTGGAACTATTCATGCTGGAACTATTCATTGCTGCCAGGATACAGGCAAATTATGTCTTCCTTTCTTAGACGAATGAATTTTGGAATATTCCCCAACACACTGATTAATGTAACATTACTAATTATAGGTTTCTGAGCCTCCTTTATGATCAGAAGCCTATGACCTCAACTTGTGATACCTCATCCCCAACACAGTAGCAGCCAGCTGTTTCTTTCAGGATCTGTTCCAAAGCTGTAGGAAGAGAAAACAACCATTGTGGGAAATCAGGAAGGATGTTGAACTGAAACAGACTTTATTTACAATATTCTTGGTACAAGATAAGCAGTATAAAAGAATGAAATAGTTCTTACATATTTTGTTTTAATTTGTTGTACCATGTAAAAGTAGGATTTGTAGAAGTAGAAACATTTATTTGGGTGGGAAAAATATACTGCCAACTTATTCAAGATAAAAATGTAACAGAATTATCTTTTTGATTAGAATCACAACCAACAAGGTCTGCCTAATTCAGCATCCTACATTTTTTCACCTCTTTTCTCAGCCAGTGTTACTGAGTAGTTTCTAATGTCAACCCTGGAGCCATCTTTGAGTGTCTTCAAGGTTGCCACAGCAAGGCTGAATGGAGCTGTGGGAAAGGGAGTGGGGAGTAGAGATAGCTAGGAGAATATGTATCCAAAATAATGGTCTGTCTTCTGGGAACCAAGGACCCTCTCACCAGCACCTGGAGGGGCATGGATGGGAGACATCTGGGATGGGGAGAGAGACCTGATTGGGGCCTGTGATAGTTGTGTGTGATGAGGGAAAGTACTTTGGATTTTGAACTTGGTGGGAAAAACCCGGGGAACTTCAGAGGCTGGTTTTCACCAGCTGTGCCAATATGACATGTCTAATAAATCTATACTTTATACTGCCTTGGAGTTTTGATTTCATATGGGCTGTTACTTGGAACCCTGACATCTAATACTAGAGACAACCAATACGCTTTACAAGTAAGAGCTACTGGTACCTTCCATGAATTTGTCCTGTGTTTCAAACCTACCCAAGTATGGAAGTTAAGTGGTCTTCAGTACAGTATGTGGTAGTAAGTTA